AATTGAAGAACACAGTTAGAAGAGTGATACTCCCCATCTAAAAGACTTATTCAAAGTTACAATAATCAAGATAATGTGGTAATAGGAAAAGAATAGACAAATAGATCAATGAAAGAGAACAGAGAGCCCAGAAATAGACCCACACAAAGTTTGCCAACTGATCTTTGACAAAGAAGTAATAAAGCAAATGGAGCAAAAGATAGACTTTTCGACAAATGGTGCTACAAACACTGAGCAACCACATGCAAAAATAAATAAATAAGTAAAAAGGAATCTAGAAACTGACCTCTACTTTTCACAAAAATTAACTCAAAAAGGATCAGAGACCTAAACTGAAATAGCAAAACTATGAAATTGTAGATTACATAGGAAACAAACTAGGTGACCTTGGGCTAGGCAATGAGTTTCTAGATATAAAACAAAAAGCATAGTCCATGAAAGAGAAAAACGCCTAAAATTGACTTGATTCAAATTAAAAACTTAAGCTCTTTGAAAGATACTGTTAAGAAATTAAAAAGACAAGCCACAGAATAGGAGAAAGAACTTATCTTATAAAGGACTTGTATCTAAAACATACAAGAACTCTTAAAACTCAATAATAAGAAAACAAGCTCATTAAAAAGTGGGTACAAGATTTGAACAGGCACCTTACCAAAGAAGATATACAGAGCAAACAAGCATATGAAAACATACACAACATAATATTTCATTAAGGGAATGCAAATTAAAACAACTAGATACTGCTACATACCTATTAGAATGGCCAAAATCTGAAATCCTGATGACACCAAATGTTGACGAGGTTGTGAACAACAGGATTCTCATTCGTTGCTTATTGGTTCACAAAATGGTGTACACTTTGGAGGACAATTTGACAATTCCTTATAAAACTAAACATATTCTTATAATACAATTCAGTGATCACGCGGCTAGGTATTTACCACCCAAGTGATTTGAAAATTTATGTCTATACAAAAAAAGTTGAGCATAAATATTTATAGTAGCTTTATTTATAATTGCCAAAATTGGAAGCAACCAAGATGGCTTTCAGTGGGGCAGGGGGAGGCTAGCATTGCTAGTTGAGGGGTAGGTGTGATTTTCTTGAGCCCAGTAAGTAAATTACACTGTTGCTAAATAATCAGATAAACCTCACCATATTTCTCAAGGTAGGTGAATACTTACATATTTCCACCAGAAGATGTAAATTTTATTTTATTAAGATAGTCAAAACATGACTAACAAACTCATTTTTTAAAATAAAGATTTATTTATGTATTTGAAAGAGAACATGTGAGACAGCCAGGGTGGTGGTGGGGTGGGGTAGGGGAGACAAAGGGAGAAGGAGAATCTCAAGCAGACTCCCCATTGAGCATGGAGCCTGATGCAGGGCTGAATCCCATGACCCTGAGATCGTGACCTGAACCGAAATCAAGAGTCAGACACTTAACTGACTGAGCCACCCAGGTGCCCCAAAATCATTTTATTTATTTATTTATAAAAAGAATTTTTTTTATTTGACAGATCACAAGTAGGCAGAGAGGCAGGCAGAAAGAGAGAGGAGGAGGATGCAGGCTCCCAGCTGAGCAGAGAGCCGGATGTGAGGCTCGATCCCAGGACTCTGGGATCATGACCTGAGCCGAAGGCAGAGGCTTTAACCACTGAGCCACCCAGGCGCCCCCCCCCCAAATAATTTTTAAAAATGAATGCAAAGGATTTAAATTGCCAAGAGTAGATCTTAAAAGTTCTCATTACAAGGGAAAAAATCTGCAACTACATATGCTTGTGGATGTTAACTGGACTTACTGCAGTGAACATTTCACAATACGTACAAATATCATATCATGTTGACACCTGAAACTAATCTAATGTTAAATATCAATTATATCTCAACAAAAAAAAGTTGCTGTTTTTAGTTTTTAAAATGAATTGAAATTTTAAGATTAAACTTTCATGTTCAAGTTATATTATTTTGAATGTATTACACATATCTACGCAAAGGAGACTATAGTTTTCAATATTTAATTATAAACACATTAAAATAATTTTTGAACTTAAGATTCACGAGGAGATACATGTTTCTAAGTGATACTGCTTAATACCATAGACTTAAAAGCTAGCTATTCTTCATAACTTTAAAAATGCATAACACCAAATAATCAGTCCTTATATGTATGGCCTGAAAAATCCTTGCCAGATTATCTTTACATATTCATTATGACCTAACAATTCCATGAACAATACAAGGACAGGTATTATAAAGCACGGGAGGAAGCCACATGTATACATTGTGCATTCATTCTGTACTGTATAATTCCTTGAAACTGAAAGGCAGAACCTTGGCCATACAGAAGACCAGATCATACCTAGAGTCTAATTTTCCAATGTAGAAAATAATGACCTTAAACCTAATAGACTATTAAAAGAAAAACATCTGAAATTATTTCAACAAAATAGACATGATTTTAACCATTTTTTATTTCTATCATAAGACAAAAACATTAGGTTATATGTTATAAATCATTGATTCCTTCTAATTCTTCAATGGTTTTATGGATTCTATCATTCAAAACTTCCTTTTTATCAAAGACCAGTCTACAATCTTACATAATTAGTAAGAAAGGAAAATTAACACCAAAAGACTTAGGCGGAATCCACAGTTATACTGTAAATATAAATAATCAAATGAACCCAAACCTCTAAAATCAGACTAACTCTTCCTTGAATTTCTCAAGTAATCTACATTTCTTTTTAATGTGGAAACTCCCTGAACCTTCTACTTCATAAGGAAGGGTGATCCATACATTTATTTAGTGGGAAGTGGTAAATAAAGAAACTTGAAAAATATTATTTTCTCCCCAGTTCAATTCATTCTTATGCTGTAGCCATACACTGAAATTGAAATGAGTACCTGAAACACTAAGCACTGATTCAAATAAAATCTAAAATAAATAATTTAATATTGAAAATCATATAGACATTTTGAGGGGCGCCTGGGTGGCTCAGTTGTTAAGCATCTGCCTTCGGCTCAGGTCATGATCCCAGAGTCCTGTGATCGAGTCCCACATCGGACTCCCTGCTCGGCAGGAAACCTGCTTCTCCCTCTCCCACTCCCCCCGCTTGTATTCCCTCTCTCACTGTGTCTGTCAACTAAATAAATAAAATCTTTTAAAAAAATCATATAGGCATTTTGAAAATCATACTTTTGCATTGTTTCCTACATGACAGGGCTTTGTGCCTAGCCCTCCCCACTCTTTCACTTGGTACGCCTTTGATAAATAAAATTCACTTAAAATAATGGCACATTTCAGAGACAAACTTTTCTGATAGGACTAAATTGGTATTTTTCAGAAAGAGCTAATCAACCTTAATTTTTAAAAAAACATGATTAAGTTTTCACTACTTTGTTTTGTACTGTACTCTTCCCAATCAAAATGTCATGATGAATTAAGTAAAATTACTCTGCGGTCTTTTCTCATTCTGTTATTCCACAAATCCTGAAGAGTTTCTCCACTTGTTCACATAGCTATTCTAATTCAAAGTTCTTGTTAGTCCTCAAGAAGTTGGGATGACCCAGATGGCTCATACGAATACATGAGATCTCTCTGAGATTGGGACAAGCCATTATCTTTCCTCATGATGCGATATGAAATTAATGGAAGTGGAGAGAAAACTCTGTAACAACTTCTATAATAAATCCAATTTTTGACAGCAATTATATAGATGCTAACTCTAAAGGACTTGTATACTAGATTCTGTGAATACTGTATTTACACATGTGAATGGAGTAAAAAATATACCAAGCTACTTTTTAAAAAATAAAGGGAAACAGATTGCGATAATCAAAGATTAGAATGTTTGGAATTGAACTGTGCAGAAATAGTATTTATAGTTCACTGGAATACAAGTTTAAGAATGATGTAACTTCCTGCTGTAGAACAAAATAGTGTTCGTCTACATTTAAGAAAAAATGTGAAACACTAAAACCTGAAAGGAGATTTTTTTTTCTTATGGGGGACATCTGGTAATATTTGCAAGACAAATCTATAGTCAAGATTGAAATTAGCACCTGTTCCATAAAATTCGTTTTCATGATTTAAAATAACCAACTAGAATTAACACACTATGATCGCATTGTGATAGAAGTGTATTTCAGCGGAAGACCATTTTAACCTGGCTTGTAGCAAAGAGCAGGCTTTGGCTCTAAAAATAAAAGGCAAAAGGAAGCAAACTCTGCAATTGTTTGAGGATAATAGCTCACTTCATAATCCATGAAAGGAGAGACTACATTTTTAATAGGACAAAGGTGAGACGTACAAGAGAAAATATAAGAAATACAGGTAAGGATCAATTCAGGAAATTAAGCCAACGATATTAAGAGTTTCAGAGAAAAAAAACTAAAGGAGGGAAAGAAATGTCAAAAACTTGGTAGGAAAATTTCCAGAGATGGAGAGATGTTCACTGGAAAGGGCCTATCGAGGTTTGTGCAGAAGTATGAAAATTCTCATGCCTTATGAAATTCAGAGTAGGACTTGAGTGGGAAGGGTGAGCCAGAGGAATCATGATTTTCCATTATTAACTCTGATTTTTTATTTTATTTTGGAGAAACATTAAATATTTAATGATAATAAACATTGAATTTGAGGTAATATTTATTTTCATATTCAATACATGGGCAAATATTTATAATTATAGTTAATAATTATAGCTCAATATTTCTAATTATGTATCCAAAACACCGTCTCTCTTGAAAATTGAGTATATTTACAACTAACTAAAATCTCAGTTTCAAGGGCTTTTGAAGTTACATAATTTATACTGAAATTTTTCAGCAAATAAAAATAAATAAAGTTAATGCCACAATCCTGCTGTTGGACTTACATGTAGGCTGCGCCAAAACTTGCCAAAACTATGAAACCGCTGCATGAATATAGGACTGTCAAAAAATGCATTTAAACCACCAGAAATCTAGCCTGCAGGATTAATAAAGTGCACATAGTTACCTGCTGTGGGATCTGTAACCGCTTGGCTGGTGATGCCAGATGGTGGCTCCTGAAGCTGGTAAGTGGCGTTTGTGGACGGTGTGGTCGGGCTGGTGTTGCTGCTCGTCATATAATGGGCTGGATACGGGGAGCTATTATAATACTGTGCATACTGACCCTGGCCGAAGCTCGGATAAGACGGGTAGTCCTACCAAATCAAACCACACAAGAGTAATCCATCAGAGAATGTTGCTGCTTATTACTCCCTTTTCAAAGTATAACTATGTTTGTATTTCTGGGTCTTCTCTGAATTCACAAAGGGGCACACAAGTACACGCAGACAAAGTGCCCAGACTTGCCAACAAATCTGACGTAAGATCAGACACACTCTCCCTATGCCTTCTAGTCCATGATGCATGACCAGGTAAAATGAAATGAATCCAAAAACCAAACGCTCACCATGGAAGACTCTTAAAGTGATTTTTAAAAGAAAAAAATATATGTATTTTAAAAGGCTTAGGTAAAATGTCACTCACAGTAGAATATAGACAGATCTTTCTTTATATAAGAAAATCATCTCGCATTTAAAAAAAAAAATCTCTCAAGTTAAACTGGCTTTTAAAATTACCTGCTGTGAGCTGTTAAATCCAGAGGAATTTGTGAGTGAATTATTTCCTGTATATAATCCTGATGATGTTGTAAAACTGCTACCTGAAACAAAATGAAAAGAAATATGGTTGAAAAAATATGCAAGAATAATGTACCTGTAAGAAATCATTATTTAGATAACACAGAGTTGAAATTCATTGCAAATGCATTTGGTTTCTCTTCAAAACCAGAATCCACCACCATGACAAAAACAGTGTTTTCTTAAAATCGTTGACAATTTTAGTTCCACCATATTGCAAAACATTAAAGAGTAGAGAGATTTAAATTTCTAAGGACATGAGTAACTCATATAAAATTATGGGCAAAACGATACATTTGTGCAAAAAAATATTAGACACTGGGCTTTCCATTTTGGTTTGTGAGACACGCCAGGATTTTTTCATGGCTTTACATTAAATATGCTTAATGAAAAATGATGGGACCTGATCAAAGGATCTTGAAAGTTCTTGCAGGCTCAAAAACTACAACTACTTTCAAATACTTTCAGACCTGTGCTTGTCACTATAATGGCCTACTGAAAAAGCTGATTATTTCATTACACAGAAGAATAAATGGCAGCCCTTAAAGTATTTGATAAGACAAGGACCAAAGAGGGACATGATCAATGTTTTATGTATTACATGTGCTCTCTAGGTAAATTCTATTTGCTGAATGTCTACATGTGTTCAACAATAAACAGTAGGCACTGGGCAGGATACAAACATAAAAGCAAATCTCCATTCCCTCTCTTGTTTTATTTATTTATTGTTAAACTACTCAAAGCAACACTTTCATTTCATTTTATTTTTGAGAGAGAGTGTGTGCATGTGAGTGGCAGGGAGAGGGAGAAGAAGAGTCGTAAGCAGGCTCTATGCCCAATGCTGAGCTTGAGACGGGGCTTGATTCCGAGATCCTGAGATTTTAAACCGACGGTGAAATCAAGAGTCCGACGCTTAGCCAACTGAGCCATCCTGGTGCCTCAATAATATGCTATTTCTGATGATCATATTAGCAAAGATTTTGAAAATATGAGGGATTGGTAAATGTGTAAACCAAGGCATCCATACGCTACAAAGCAGGAATTTACGTACAAACTTTCTGGCTGGTCTCTTTGGTCAGTGATAAATAACTTAGCCCGACATTTGCTGTAAGAAAAGAATGCATGGATTTATACAAAGAGATCATTAGCAAAGATGTTCTTCAGTGCTGTTTTTAATAACATAAGAAGCATTCCCAAATCCTTAATACATGTAATTCAGGAAAGGGAATATTATGAAGACATTGAAATGGTATCATAATGATGTTTAATTACATGGAAAATTTCTTCATATTATTTTGCTAGAGTAAAAATGAAAACAAGGAAAATGTTTTGATGATTTCATCTGGAATATTTTTGAAAGCATACAACATTTTTAAAAAGCACAAAAATCTCAGAAACATTATCTATGGAAGGGCATAGCCGTTGGTCACATAATATTCAAGAAGCCAAGGCACATTTCAGACTTTTCGACCCAGAAGCTGTGTTGCTTCTATAAACAGAAAAACCTTTTCTTTTAATTAAAATTTTATGGCCAATGAATGTGTTGGCAGTTGAAGGAGAAAGTCTTCAGTGTGAACTAGCTCTTCACAGATGCTTTCAGGTATGGTGCACGTGTGAATCCAAGCCAATTACTTATTTGCTACTCAACAGTTAAGTACTACCTCAAGAGTCAGAAAACAGGGTTTCCAGTCATCACTTACAAGCTGTTTGGACTTTGGACAAATCACCCAACCACTCTAAGATCTAACTTGCCCATCCATGAAAACTCTACTTCGTAAGGTTCTTCAACAGATCAAGTGAGGTAATGTTTTGGAAAGCATCATGCCCGATCTACAACAGCGCACCAGTGTTAGAAGCTGTTACTGTTTATCTCAGTAAACATTTCTCAAATTCTCCACTGCATTTCTGTATCTTTTCTCTCTCCTTACTTTCCCAAACTAGATAAATAGGACTTAATCTCTTTGCATATCTAAAATTCTTTTCCTACTTATTTATCAGACATCTCTGAACTTTGAAAACCTGATACAAGCCTTTGTTATTTTTATTAAGGGAAAATATTTCCTAAGATAGTTTCAAATTTGGTTATCACAGACTCATATTTGAGGTTTCTTTCTTTGTGACTTTCAGGAATACCAATTGTTCAAAGTTCCCATAACACCCATCACAGATAAGCAAAGAGCTCCCGCACTAATATTTATTCTGCCATGAAAACTGGGGCTTCAGGCAAGCTTCCCCTATTACTGTCATTAGCATGGGACAATCACAAACTTCTAAACATATATTAAGTGCTGGACTCGTGGTGGTAATTACATGGGGATAAAAGAATGACTGAGACATAGTTTGGGACCTCACAGGACTTATCAGGATGACATCAGTTTTGTTTTTTTTTTTTAAGTACTGGACCTCATGGGCATGTGACTCACTCTGTATTTATCAGCAAATAATTAATCAATATTGATATTTTATATATAAAGCAAACTTACACTGAACAGCGTAAACTTGCCTTGTAAAAATAAAATTTAAATTTCTTTTGGATAAGAGTGCAATATCAATACTTTTTTAAACTTTACTATATACATTTAATAGGAAACATTACTTTGGGTTATGACTTGTTACTTTCATTTAAAACTGCACATTTCTAGGTTATGACTTGCTACTTTCATTTATACTACACATTTTTGAACAATAAATACTGACCTCAACAATCCCTATCCACCAAGAAAATGAGTACGATATAGAAAATATATTTTTAAAATGGGTGTTTTCATTCCATAAGTTATTCCCTGGAACAGAGTAGAAAAGGCCACGGAAGCTATATTGGCACATAAGGCCACTGAGGTATGACCAAGTAAATCACAATTCAGTACTTGAAATGGTACCCAAGTGACTTTCCAGACTTAATGCTACTTCTAAGGCTATACATTAGCTGGAGTTCAACATAAGTTATAGTCATTTACTGGCTGACAGCTGGCTGAGATTCCATTCCATTTAGTACACTGCAGCAGGCATAATGGCACTCCTGAGGCCTAGGAGACTTAATGCAACTTCCAAAAGGGTCTAAGTTACTTCAGGGAGAGGGGTACATACTAGGGACTCAGGCTCAGGCAATACTCATTTTTCACCACCAGCATTGGATCTGTAGGGCCACACCACCTGCCTTCACGTAGGACTTAGGCAAAGAGGGCAGCTAACTTTCAGTCTAGGCCACCAGCACTGGCTTTCTGCAACAGCCTCCTTTACTGGTTTCCTGCCCATTTTCCGGCCCCCTCCAGTTCATTTTCCACAAAGGTAGAATATTTTCTCTAATGTGCATATCTGATCTTCTCACTCCCCTGTTTTTTTTTTTTTTTTTTTTTAACGTAACTGTTAGTGGCTTCCTCTTGCCCTCAGGATAAAATTCAAACTCCTTCCCAGAGCTTATTTATTAGACCCTGGTCTGGTTCCAGTCTATCTTTCGGACTTCTCTGGTTTCATCCCAGGAACCTCAACCCAATCCAGCCAGATACACATTCCAACCTAACTTCACACAAATGAAGCAACGTGTGGTTCTCTTAAGGCGGCTTTTTGCACCTCTTACTTCCTCCCCATTGTATCCTGACTAATATCTCATCAACTTCATAACTCAGCATGGACTAGAAACCTTTCTTCTCAAACACCTTCCCCAAATTCCCCTCTTCTCTTTCCTCCTAAGCCTGGATTACTGAATCTCCTGTCTGTCTGTCTACCTACCTACCTACCTCCGTAATGTATACATAGTATTATATAAATTTATATATATTTTGATACATTATATATTTCTATTATATAAATTTATATATAACTTACATGTATAACATATATTTATATATTTACATTAGTACGTTTGTGTATAATTTATTGTATAAATTTATAAAATAGGCACACAAATTTATATATATTTATATACATCTAGGACTACTCATCAGTGTTTTAAGCTAATTAGTATTAATTAGAAAATTGATACAAATCAAATACTCGTCATGTTTTTTTATAAGATTTTATTTAATTTGTGAGAACACACTTGCATGAAGGAGAGGAAAGGGGATGGGAGAGGGAGAGGCAAACTCTCCATTGAGCACAGAGCCCATGTGGACAGAGCTTGATCTCAGGGCCTTGAGATCATGATCTGAGTCTAAATCAAGAGTGGGACACAACCGACTGAGCCAGCCTCAAATAATAATTACATTTAAACTCATTAGTCCCTTCCCTATTAAACAGGCTAAAAAGAAATCTTAGAGCTTATAGAATTGGATGTTTGTAGTCAACCCATACAAACATAACCAGAATACAAAATAGAGTAACAGTAAAGATGGACAATGTCCCTGAGTACTTACTATGTGCTAGGAGTGTGTTCCTCTGTTATATGCTTTATCTAAACCCAACAGCTTGATACTATAGGCAGTATTAATATTCCCACTTTGCAAATAAGGAAACAGAGGGTTAGGTCAAGATCATACAGCTTTAATGGGGTAAAAGTGAAATTTGAACCCAGCTCCGTCTGGTTTCAGAGTCTACACAATGCTCTCTCACAACCTCTTACCTTCTCTATATAGCTTTATAGAAGCCCTGAAATTCACTCTAGTTTTCTACAGGACTAAGAAAAACATCAGAAGCAAAATAGATGTGCATAAGTACAACTGATAGCACTTAAAGGTTACTGAGCGCTGGCTCTGAGCCAGTAGTTTCCATGTTACAGCTCCCTGGGCCCTCCTAACTGCCTCATGAGAGGAGAACTTACACCCCACTTTACAGATGGGCAAACCACCAAAGATTATGAAGAGTATCCAGGGCCACCTGGCCCCAGAGGCTATGTTCCTAATCCCCACAGTAGATTACCTCTCAAAGCAATTGGGACCAGGGTGGTGGGGAGGAGAGAGGGGTTGGAGAAGATCTTGGAAAAAAATTATTTTTTAGCATATCCAACCTACAGCCACATGCCAGGCAATTGTCGGGAGGTGTCTGTTAAAAGGCACATATCTACACCCCGCATTAGACAGAGGAATCA